TCTTTCTTTCTTTCTTTCTTTCTTTCTTTCTTTCTTTCTTTCTTTCTTTCTTTCTTTCTTTCTTTCGTATTTACTATTAAATCTGAATTTTCGTAAATTGCAAAAAGTTTGAATTTTTTCGGCGACTCCTACAACTACAAAATTGAAGATTTATAATTCAGACCCTAATAGAGTTTTTTCCTTTCAATGAATTTTTTTTCCATATTAAGTTCTTTCTTTAAGGTCATGTACATTTTTTGATCATTCTAGTGCTTTCGTGCAATATTGCGTGCACTATGTGCAATTTTAAAAAATATCAAAAACAAGATTCTAAAACTGCTCCAATTTTTTCTTTAAACTGTCGGTAGGGATAGTGATAAATGTACAGGCATAAACGCCATATTGCTTTATTCTTTTGTTTTTTCAAATATTACAAGTGTTTATTTTTATTGTCTCTCACGCCGTGAATATTTACATTAGCGGCTTTTTGTCTACCTTCCTGTATTTGTGAGTACATGTGATTTAAATACGGTCAGGTAAAGTTTCTCGAAAATTCAACTATTTTCTGTGAATATGAGCTAAAATTTCCACATTTTCAGAAACAACCTAACGCCATGTTCTCAAAATTGGCTCCAAATTATTTCTTCAATCTTTTCCAGCGGACAGTACTAATTGCATTGTTTCATATGACATGAAGTTCATTTTGGGGTGTTATTTTTTCTCAAAAATTAGACAAATCTTTTGTTTCTTTTTTGAATAACTCTTACGCCGTTAATATGTACATTTTCAGTCATTTGTAAACACTATGGAATTTTTAGTTAAAGTGCTTCAAATGACTTCTAATGATGTTTTTCGAAAACTGAAAATTGTTTCTGTCAAAAAGAGCTTCAAATTTCGCATTTACATTAGAGCTCAAGTGCCATTTTCTTAAGAACAGCTCCACATTTTTCAATAAAAATTGTCACATAGGACGAGGTTTTACTCTTTTTTAATATTCTTAAAGTAATATTTCGGTTCTACTATTAGAAAACCGAAAAATTGACATTTTTAATGTTCTTTGGGTGGTAATAGCAGCTCGCGAGAGGATGTGGCAAGTCCGAATAGCTAGCCCAGTTAAAAAATGTTTTAACTAAAAGATCCTTTATGTTATTTGTAGTTTATTTAAAAATGCCTCAAAACAATCTAAAAAAATTGAACATGACCGCCATGCAAGAATTAGATAATATTATTGCATTTTTGTCCGACATTTCTAGTATAACAGCCTGATTGTGCTGCTATACTGGGATGTAAATCTTTTTTATTGTTAATATTAAGCGAATCGTGATGGCGATCATTTTATACACTTGCAACGACTTATCTTATATTTTCACATAAACGCTTTTGTTTTATAAAGTGTTCATATGGACATCTAATTCTTGATGTCCATATTATTTATCTTATACATGCTAAGTTTATACACAAAACATTAAACACTAAATATACACAACTGATTATACATACAGGACATTGGAAATGAGCACTCTCTGTTATTTATATTTTAACGTGACCCATTCACATCAAGCCTATCTACTGAAATCTTCCATGCACATCAACAGAATTTTGACGCAGACACCAGAAGGCTAGAAGGGATCCTTCACTACTCTGATAGACTAGGCAACTCCAAGAAGTAAAACATCCAGGTAATTTCTGATTTGTAAATTATTCTTAATTGTATAGATTTTCTTTAACATTTTTTCTTACAACTAAATTATAAATTTTGTTATATTGATCGTAAATAATAGTTTTCTCAATATTATATTCAGACATTTACTCAACTTCACGAAAATTTTCACTTACACCAGAGCAAACATTGCAATTATCATCACCAACCATTACCCATAAGTATTTAGGTTGTAAGATTGTGATACGCTGTTTTCTCCAATATGTGTTTTCGTACTTCGTAGCCACTTTCTCCTAACCATTTTACTGGGGTTGAACGTGGAATAATCCGTCTGTTAAGTCAGTCAGCCATTGCGTTTTATCCCTTCGTCCAGGGACTCCGCGCTGATAGATCCCGGAGTTCTCAGACGGCCCCATCCAGACCCATCGAGAAACCCAGATGGCTCCGAGTCGTTTAACCTCCGTGACGTCATGGATCGTAGTTCAGCAATTCAGCTATCGAGGCCGGCCAAAGAAAAAATATGTGAAGAAAATACATTGCTCAGATCATAGTTTCCAACTCTCCATGGTATTGACATGTTATGTAAATAATGTAAATGCAAACACGTATGTAAATTAATTAATGAAACTGGGAGAAACCCATGTTTCAGAACTTGATTTTCTCTCTGAGAGAAATGCTTCTCTTGACACGATCGTGAAATTGAGCCTATTAAACTCGTAAGTCACATAATAGTAGCACAAAAGGAATGTCCTGCAAAACACACCTACAAGTTTCACCGTTTTTACAAAAGTCACCACGAGGACAAGGAGACGCGAGGACGACGGGAACGGGAAGGTACGTGTAAACGCAACCAGCTACTGATTTCCAAGGGCAGCGCAGAACAACAAACCGCCGACGCCATCTCCGCTCCAGAAGACACCCAGCCGGGCAGGTTTCGAAGCGCTAACACACTTTCCAACAAAGACGGACAATGGCCTGCAATGGGGCTGGCGCCTACCAGGCGGATGTATCCATAGCTGGAAGGTAGATTTTAAGTAGCGCTCGCGCAATATTCATTCATTATTAATTTGCTGTACAATCACTCCATACCTCACAATTAAATAAAAACTATGTAAAAATTAATTGTCCTGCGATTCATGTCCTGCGGCATGTGATGTGCATGATACTACTACCTCATTCTTATCAGAATCATTATCTCATCCCATTATTATCGCATCATTATCCCATCACTATCTCATACCCATCGTTAATTCGCTGACTAATTACTCCATAGGACACCTATATCTAAATTAAACCTACGACATAAAAATTAACTCCTGCGTTTCATCGTTGGTTGTTTTTACCCATTGTAACGCCGCACATATAAAAGAAGGTGATAATGACGGCTGCTTTTGATTCGCGGTAATATAAGCGAATACTTTTATATATTTGTAGAATATTACAATACCATAGTGTTTAATAATTACTATTATATATTTTTCAATCTATTTGCGTTTGTCAACTCTATTAGTATCGTAGTATTTATTAACTTTAATTATTTTATGAGCAACCGAGCCATCTCAGCAGTTGCTCAATATATTGAGGGAAACAACGAAACACCTGATTTAGATGGGTAACATTGACCCAGAAATTGAGGAAGGGTACAACTAAAAGGCATATTTTGTCCTTTAAAATTGTTCATTAGAAATGGTAATTCATACATCAAATATCATTGCTAAAATCAATGTAATATTATTTTTCGGTGTTTAGTACAATCTTCAATTGTATAAAAACACGTACGTAGCAGAAAATGTTTTACTTGGCAGTAAACTTCTGTACAGATTTGTATCGTTTAATGTCATCTGGCTGTGTTGTAAAATAGTGTCCATGAATTGTACGTGTATTGTTTGAAGTGAGCTGTTGGTACTGACATCCGATGAATATGATTTCTACGGCGTGTATTATAACTACAGAGATGGTATTTTATGAAAATATGTTTCCACCCTTGAGTATGTCAGTTTTGAAAAAGCTGTGGATTTGTAAATGAAGAGGCAAGGCAATGACAGAATGTCTACCTTAATAAAGAGTCACGTTGGTGATTTTTCTTATTATCCTTTTCTGTAATTTAAAAGTACAATCCTTTTCTGTAATCTAAAAGTCTGAGTGCTATAGGATGCGTTTCCGCAAAATATAATGCAATATCTCAAGAGGGATAAATATTCGCGAAGTGTAGGGATAACCCTTGCACTACGTACCACCTTGTATCTCTGGCCAGCAGTGAATTAGAAGTAACTGTCAAAGAACAAATCCACTTTGAGTATGAGATGGTACAAAAACTTACTTTCATTTGTGACTTGTTTATGTGCATCCAGCTTTATTACGAAAGAATTTATTAAACTGTAGAGAAACTGCAAAAGAAGAAGTTATTTAACTGCATTCATTACATAATGTCAAAAGTAAAATTTGCAACGATACAAGTTTGGATTATCATGAAGCGTTACGCTCTATTGTAAGTGAACACCAGCTTTATTCGCAGTATCATTTATTGAAAATAACACAATCAATAATCTTGTTATTAATTGATATAGGTTTCCATCAAAAATGCAGTCGTATCTTGGGCCACTTTACTGCAAACGTCAAAAATTAAAAATAATTAGTCCAAGAGTCTGTACCTTTAGACATTTTACATATTTTTTTATCGAAATTTTTAATAATAAATTGTGCAATAAAAATACAGTTATATTTTCCGTTGGAGCGCAAAATCTATGTAAATTTCTACAACAAAGTAGGGAAACTAGTCAATAAAAACTAGCGGTTCTTCATGAGCACATACTTTCTCTCATAATTTGTAGCTTTAGCAGTTTTCCAAAATTGAGTGAATGCAAGGAAAAACTATACCTGCGCCTCTTGTTAAGCGTCCTTATACGTCCGTATACGCCAAGCGTCTCTATACGAGTAAAACATTTAAAGAAAAATTTGGACCTCTTTTAAGTATTAATTGCCATCAATTAAGCGCAAACAACTCTCAGCTTAAAAGAAATTACATAACTATATATAAAGATATATTTTAGAAAAAAATCATAAAACAAAAAAGGATCTTTCATCAAATTTGAAAATTTCCAATATTACAGATCTGCAATTTTATAATATAATAATTTTTATAATATAACTTTGCTTTATTTAAGGAAAACATTTAATGAAAAAATTAGCAACTTTTTGGGAAAATGATTGTTTAAAACTTGCCTTTATTTCAAGCATAATTATTCAAAAAATACTCATATTTTTACGAAGAGTTGTAAATGTTATTTAAAACTCAATGAAGAAGCAAATCTCAATGGTGCAGTTGTAAGAAGACGCTTAGAAAAATTAACTTTTCCAATTTTCGAAAATGCATAGTACAACGAAAATTAGTCCTGCGCCATTCTAAAAGCGTCCTTTGCTTTCTTCCTGGAAAAAATTAACCCACAAATTTAGAGGCTTTATGAGAAACTTTTGAAAATATTAAAGCTTCGTGAGGAGTGCACCCAAAATCAAAATATCCGTTTCAAATTAGCAGGGTCTCGAGTTCGACCAGATTAATTGGGGTTTAGAAGAATATTGTCTGAACGGTTCAGGCTCTAGCGTTGACAATATGCAGAAAACGTAAACCCATTTATCGGTATTATGGGCCCATAAAAACTAGATTTCGCCAACTTAATGTGCGTATCAACTTAATATGTTACGAAATAATTTACTATACACAGTATAAGAGAAAGTGAAAGTGCCCAAACTACGAAGGTCTCTCGTACGCAACGAGCAATATGAAGGATGTCAGAATTTGGAAGAATTTGTGTTTAATGTATTGTGTTTAGAATGTAAATACTTCGCCAAAAGAATTCATAAATAAGTATTCAAATACATACACAAAATACATTAGGATTTGATGTACTGAATACATACGAATTTAAAATACTGCAAATACTCAAATTACTGTAAATATATAATAGTTTTGTATTGTATATTTTTATTGCAACAATATATTGTAATTGTTAATTACAGTAAATAAATAATAGACAGTCTTTCAAATTCCTGAATAATAACTATTTTAATGCATTATAACAATATGAATTAACATTTTCAATTACAAAATGATATCAAAAATATGTCTTAACACAAAGAAATAGAATTTCCTTTTAAAACGAATAATTTTTTAGACAAATCACCAGACAATAAATCCCTATTTGGCGAATGTATAAAACCTGCAGAGGAAAACAGTCATTCAACTAATAAACTTTTCTTTGTTGTCGGATAATTGTTCGGCATTTTTAATGATTTAGAATAATCAATTAAAAATGAAGAGAAACCAAATTCAACAACTGAAAATAGCTTTTATTTTTGTTTCAATGAGGTTCATTCACTAGCGGAATCAAACAAAAGGAAAAAATAAAAACAAAGGAAAACAATCATTCAATAAACTAATATTTCAACTAATTCAATAAACTAATAAACTATTTTTTGTCGGACTGGGAATTCGGAATTATTTTTTGTATTTAGATTCATCATTTAAAAATGAAAATCCAAATTCAATAGCTGAAAGGAGCTTTTATTTTTGTGTCATTTAGGTGGATTTACTAGTGGAATCAAACAAAAATAAACTATACTCGTTCTAAACTCTCTGCTTCTTCGTCTTTATTTAAATGTTTCTTTTTTTTAAGACACCTACTGTATGTACGTAAATACATACACAAAAAATTAAAAAATACATTTTTTCAAATACAAAATGTATTTAAAATACGTATTTCAAATACAAGTATTAAATACTGCCCAACCTTGTGTATGTATCTCAGAAGTTAATTACATTTATTCAGAATCTTCTGTATAGTTCGTTACTTCAAAACGCTCATGAGAGCAATGCATTTCGTATATAGTAGTTTACTCTTTATCCTTTACGCCCCTTAACATTTTAGGCTCTCAGTTATCTCTCTCTCTCGCGCTCTCGCTCTCTCTCGCTCTCTCTTTCGCGCTCTCTTTCTCTCTCTCTCTCTCTCTCGCTCTCTCTCTCTCGCGCTCTCTCTCTCTCTCTCGCTCTCTCTCTCTCTCTCTCTCGCTCGCTCTCGCTCTCTCTCTCGTCATTCCTTTGATAACTCTCGATGTACGTAACGCAATGGGACCCAAGGTGGGTTAGTGGTAAGGCACTGACTTTCTGACTTGAAAAACCCAGGTTCGAATCCCGTTGTAGGTTGGGAACTTTATCTGGTGATTTCCATTTACGGCGGCTCTGAGGTCGACTCAGCCTCCTTCCCAAGTGAGTACCAGGCTCCTTCCTGGGGGTAAAGGCGGCTGGAGCGTTGTGCTCGCCATACAACCTCCTCCTTAAGGCGACGAATATGTGGAACCCTACTTCCACCTCCCCTGTGGGCCACATCGACCTATGTGCAATTGCAAAGGGATGACTTGTACCTTACATAATACAATGGAAGGTGATTCTAGCTGAATTTGTGACTGACGTGGGGTACTACCCTTTCCACGTTCCTTAGATGGACATTAAAAGGAGTTACATACGTTAGTTGATGCTTGTTAATACCAAATGCGAAGTCTTGTGACCATTACTTTCAATTGCGACACCTTATGATTAATTGTAATTTCTCTTGTAATACAATAATTTAAAAATATATATATTTTTATTCACCGTTTAACTTCGTCTACGTTTCTTGTAGTTGTGCTGACGCATAGTAAGTTTCACCTACCTTTGGATTTGAGTCAATATTACTTGATGTATTTAACGTGCATTCAACTCAATGCCTCAAACCTCTGCATTGCTAGATTTCTATGTATGCAGGGCCTACAATTTATAGAGTATTTATATTTTTAATTTCAGGAAGGCCCAAAATACGTTTCTTATCTGAGTTAGAAACGTCGAATGTAAATACTGTAATATAAATTATATACATACTAGTGATGATGTACAAAGGTTACTATGTCATTTCCATGTTTGACTTTTATTTTAATATATTTAATGTTACAAAAATTTCTGATTGCACTTCATATATACTATAA